TGCTTTGACATATATCGTGTCACCTGAGTCAGAAACAACAGGTCATAGATAAGGGATTATAGGTAATGATTCTGTTATCATTGGTCAGCCTGTTGTTAGGCACCATTGACTTGGATACGACTCATATTGACCCTGTGAACAATGCCTCTCATCCTATCCTCAGCAACCTCACCACCTCTGACACACCTGCCCCGTTGCCACTGTTACTTTGTCAGTCCATCTCATCCAGGCTCTTTCTCTCCTGTGCTGATCCTCTGCCCTTCCAAGCATGATGTCTTTCTTCAAGGACTGGTCCTTCCTAGCAACATGCCCAAAGTATGTGAGACAGAGTTTCAAAATCCTTGCCTCCAAGGGGCAGCCTGGTTTCAGCTTCTCCAGAATAGACCAGTTTTTTCTCTTGACAGTTCATGGTCTTTTCATTACTCTTCTCCAGCACCACAATTCAAAAGCATTAATTATTCTTCTCTGATCCATAGTCTTTGTCTGTCTCTTAGATGCATAGCATGCAGTTGAGAAGACCATGGCATAGATCAGGAACACCTTAGTCTCTAGCCTGACAATGTTACTCTTTAACCCTCTGGAGAAGTTCCTGATGGCACTTTCCTGAAACAACTTGCTTTTTGATTTGGATCCAAGCAAGATGAAATTATTAACAGCTTCAGTATTTTCTCCATCTTTCATTTACTGCCAGTTGGCCTAGTGGTAAGGATCTTTTGTTTTCTTGATGTTGAGATGCAATCCATATTGAAGTCCTTGACCTTCTGCACCAAACAGTCCAAGTCTTCTTCAGTTTCAGTGAACAAGGTTGTATCACCGGCATAACATAGGACGTTGATGAGTCTTCTTCTAAACCTAATGTCATGTCCTTTTTCTCTAAGTGCAGCCTCCTGAATGATCTGTTCCTCCTATTAATTAAAAAGGCATGAAGAAAGGTTATATTCCTAATGCACTCTTTCTTGATTTTGAATCTTGCAGCGTTCCCTTGCTCTGTTTAGACAACTGCTTCCAGGTCTAGGTCTAAGTTTCACATGAGCACAATCAAGTGTTCTGGGATTCGCATTCTTCTCAATATTGGCCACAATTTGTTGCAATCCACAGAGCCACATGTCTTGATATAGTCGATAAAAACAAAGAGACATCCTTCTGGTACTCTCTGCTTTCAGCCTAGGGGCTCATATATGTTGCTTCCCTACCCCCTCCTTCTTGTTTAAAACTTGCCAGGCTCTTATCTTGCACTGACTTGCTTGGAATAACACCAGCCTCTTTTGTCTTTGAATATTGCTTCTATTAGCAGTAATAATAGCAGCAATTAGCTGACTTGACATTTTATCAGGCATTTAATTGAACATTCACCTGGGAAAATCTTAGGAAGGCTACTCCACATCCAGTTCTTTATAACCCAATGGATGGTTTAAAGGAAGTCCTATTGGCATGGTGTCTAACTGAAAGATCACTAGTTCAAATCCACCAGGTGCTCCTTGGAAGAAAGAGGGATACACTTTACCTGTAAAGATTTACAGGGTTGGAAACGTGATGGAGATTTACCAAGAGTGGGTATCTACTTGATGGCAGTGAGCTTGATTTGAACAGTTTTAATTAGGTGCAGTAATCAACTAGGATGCAGTGGGTTTGGTTTGAACTGTTTGAAGGAGTTTCAGGTCACTCTGTGGTAGACATAGAAACCTTACATACCTGTTCCAGGGTACTTCCTTACTCCCATGCTGGAGCCCAGAAACTATCTCCTCCTGGGAGGCTCAGGAAGGGAGTGGCTTCAGGGCCTGCCAGGCCTGGATATGCACCTCTCAGACTGGCCCCAAAAAGGAACCCACCCCACAGAACGGCCGTGCTCAGAGCTGGGCTCCAGGCTTGGCATACCCAGAGCCACAACTCATTTCAGACAGAAGTGTGGCCACTAAGCCATTCCAAGTTAAATAAGCTCGGCCCCAGGAACTCTCTCCGAGGCTTTATTCAGAAGAACCTAAAAACAGCCTTGGCTGGCAGGGCCGGTTACCTGTGAGCCCGGTGCAGCAGACCTCTTCACTCGCAGATCTGGGACAGACCTGCGGAAGGAAGCAACCTCCTCAACTTTGCTCTCCTGCCAGAAGCAGCTTAGTGCTGTGCTCGCCCCCGTGCTGAGAACGGGGCCGCTTGGCCACCTCGGGAGTCATCTCTGCGCAGTCTAAATTTATTTTCATGTGAAATCGAAATCAGGAAAACACCACAATTATTTTAAGCAAAATATCAAAATGGAAACAAACTAACATATGTCTGGGAAACATGTATAAATCTCAATCAAAAATAAGCACCACTTTCATCAATTTCTTAAAATACTCGAGTCTGCAAAATCTGGACAGTTTAAGATGTGAGTTAGGGGAGGTTTGACTGTCCCTTCTCCTTCTTCCTTGACTGAAAGGTGAGCATCCAGGTAGCCAACCCCTGACCAGTTGGTGATCAACCTTCCACTGAAATGCCTTTTACCAGCTCTTGAGATAAAGAAGGGAAAGCACCAGCCAGTTGGGGGACAGTTCTTGCAACCACGTTAAGTGAGGCCTGGTAGTCTTGATTGACAAACATCTTGACTGTACCCACTGCCTGTACCCACCACTCTGTGGCACTTCCACTCTTTACACCTAGGCTTCTAAGAAATGAGGCATTTTGATTGCCTTAAATATCTTGTGCCTTCTTTCTCGTCGTTTTTCCATATTTCTACATTTCCCTTCCAGTAGGAACTCAAGCAGGATTAAAACTGTGGAAGTAGCATAAATATTCCAGGGCTTAGCACCAAAGAGAGAGTTAAAAGATAAATCCCTTTACACATCTCACCTTTCTGCTTCGTTTACAGGCTTCCTCTAACACATTTATTATTGTTCTTATTATTACTGCATCATTACCTCGAGGATAGGAATCATTCTGACTCTGAAATAGTAACTGACATTTTGCCCACAAAAGGCATTAAGTAAATCTGGCTGTCAGTAAATATTATTGACTAACCAGTGAAGCATTTCGTCGAATCTTCAACCTTCCCCTTTCCGTTTTTCTCTTTATGAATCAAATAGCATGCGGTCTTTTCCAAAGGAAGTGTGACTTGGAAATTAGTGAGTACTAAATGATTTATCTGTCTTCCAGTGGACTTGCCTGCTAACCGCAAGGTCACTGGTTCAAACCCACCAGCTGCTCAGAGGGAGGAAGATGTGGCAGTGTGCTTCCGTAGAGATCACAGCCGGGGACACGTATGGGACAGCTCTGCCCTGTGCTGTAGTGTTACGAGGAGTCAGAATAATTCGTGGTGGTTTCGGAGGAGGTCTTGCCACAAACTCAAGACTGATCTCACTGCTGCCAGCTCACCACCCTTTCTTCCCCAGGTAGACTTTTAGAAATTGTGATTTGACATCCAGTATTCACTCACTGTCATTGAGCCAGAATGGCCCCTTAGCTGGCCCTCTCTGAGATTTCCAAGGCTGTAAATCACAGGAGAGAAGATTGTCTCTCTTTCTCCTTTGAAGCCACTGGTGGATCCAAGCCACCGGAGAGGTGAGGACTTCGGATTAGCAGTGCAGTTCCCTGTGGACTATTCCAGAAGACTTCCTTTAGTCCTATGAGGAACAGATATCAAAATAGAACTTAATGTGCAAGAATTTATGGTGGGAAGGGTACTCACGTGGAACAAAAGGAGAGAAAGAGCAAAAATAAACAGGGAAAGGGGAGGGAGGAATTGTGATTTGAGCAAAAGTTTACAAAGCATTTTGGTTTACAATCAAATCTTTCATGTGCATTTTGTCCCATAGTGTTAATTAAAATAACCTCATTCATTCATCCCGTCCCCATTAGCTTCCCCTTCCCTCATCTAAATAAGTGTTTGTTACGTATTTATTGTTAGTTCTCCTCCTTCTCTTCCTTGCTCACCCTTCTAGAATGGGTCCATCCATTTAGCGGTGCAGATTCGCCTTTGGTCTTCAGTGTTGCATAGTACTCCACTGTGAATGTCACTTCGTTTCTGTGGCCATTTGTTTGTTGATTGGCACCTGGCTTGTGTCTGTTTCTTTGCCCTTGTGAATAACGTTGCAGTAAATATGGGGGTGCATATATCTGTCCATGCCAAAGCTCTTACTTCTTTGGGATATTTACCAAGTAGCACAACAGTTAGATCAAATGGTATTTCCATTTTCAACATTTTAAGGATATGTCAAACTGCTTTCCAGAGTGGCTGCACCATTTGGCCTTCCCACCAGTGGTGTGACGATTTCAGTCTCTCCATACACTCAACAGCATTTGTTGTTCACACTGTGTTTCTGAACTTTGCAGTTGTTGCTGGGGTTGGGGTGGGGGGAGATGTCTGAGTGAACTTGATGAACTTGAACCTCCAACCTCTGGGTTAGCAGCCACACAAATCAACATTTCCACCACTGGTGCTTTTGAACAAGCATATTTCAAACTGTATCTCCTTGGGCTTGGCACCGCCCTCTGTATTCACCAGGTCACACTTCTGCCTGGTGAGACTCTGGAGGAGAGAGTTTACGACCAGCAATACCAGCCACACACACTTTTTCCTTCTGGGATCCTCCAGTTGCGCTTTTCTGTCCTGCGTCACTCTGATTTTTCTTGTGAGTTTATTAGTTGTCAAAAGTTTCTTCCTTCCTGGTTCTTTCAATTTAGACCAATTTGGGAATGGAGAAGTGTGTTAGTTTTTAATGAACCTTTAAGGCCCGCATTACTGCGTTTTTATTAACTGAAGCAGATGGCTCGTAGCAAATTTTCTCTGACAGAAATAATCACAGAAATCAGTTCGGGACCCAAATCTGCTAGAGAAAGTGGCATGTCTATTCGGGAGAGAAGTGCCGTTTGCAGAAACACATGGCTAATTTTAGCAGCAGTATTTGTTGCTGTTTGTATTTCATCTTCCTTCATTGTTGTTGCTCAGTGCAGGACTTTTTCCTTCCCCTGCGCCCCGGGTCCCAACACTCCAGGCCTTTCTCAGCAAATACTGTTCTATCTCTTTGCAGTTTGAAGGTTGCAAGAAGGCCTTTTCACGGCTGGAGAATCTCAAGATTCACTTGCGGAGCCACACGGGCGAGAAGCCGTACCTCTGCCAGCACCCAGGCTGCCAGAAGGCCTTCAGCAACTCCAGCGACCGTGCCAAGCACCAGCGGACACACCTGGACACTGTGAGAATGGCAGGGGCTTCCAGATCCCAGCCTGCGCCCTGCCCCCCGGTGGGGGGGAGCTAGGAAGTGCCTCTCCAATAGCAGGGACCCCGCAGGCATTTGCTTTATGGTCTGCAGGTGACAGGGACAGGGCTGACAGCAGCAGGGGCCTGGCCAGAGCCACCTGGCTGCCTGTTTTTCTGGACTGGAAATGTTGCTGTTAGATGCCATGGCCCGTGCCCAGCAGGACAAAGCCCTGCCCGATCCTAGGCCAGCCTCACAGTCCCTGCTGGGCGTAATTAACCCCACTGCCACAGCCAGGAAGGACGTGCTCTTACTCTCATTGCCATCAAGTCAGAACTGACTCTTAGCCGACTGCCCAGTGGGTTTTCAGAGGCTGTAAATCATGCAGGAGGACGTTGCCCATATTTCTCCACAGAAAGCTGGTGGATTTGAACTCTCTGCCTTTGAGTTGGTAGCACAACATGCTACCAGCTCGGTCCCAGAGCTCTCCACTGAAAATGCAGACCAGCTAAATAGTATGGCTGCACGGGAGGTGGGGGGAATGCCACTTGGTCCCCTTCTCATATAAAACAAGGAGCCCTGATGGTGGGGTGATTAACGCACTTGCCTGCTGACTGGAAACTTAGTCTGTCCATGGGGGGGAGATGTGGTGGTCTGGTCCCATGAACACCTGAGCCTTGGAAGCTTGGGCTGTTCCGCTCTATCCTGTGAGGTCTCCGTGAGCTGGAATCACTGCTGTGGCTCTGGGCCTGGTTTGGATCTGGTGTGATAGGAGAATGTTTTACACGTTTACATGTTAATACCTTTATATGGATTCACATAGTGGCCGCAACCACAGGCTGTGAGACGGCGCCAGCTGAAGGGCTGGGCAGGGCTGGGCTGCTGTTGCACAGGGCGCAGCTGTGAGTGGAAACTGACCTGATGGCCCATCACAACAACACACATTTATAAGGGCGGTAGCATGTTGTTGTTAGGGTTGTTACGTGCCTTCGAGTTGGAAGCAACTCTCTGGCTGACTCTCAGAGGCAGTAAATAGCACGGGAGGAAATTGCCCATCTTTCTCCTACATAACATCTTGTTAGATGCTAGCAAGTCGATTCTGACTCAGCAAATAAATACGGCTGAGTAGAACTGCTGGGCGTGGGGAGGGAAAGTTTCTAAGTTACCATATTTTGGGGAGTAAATCACATTTTTCATCCTTGGAGCTGCTGTCTAGGCTTGAACCGTCCACCTTGCAGGTCTAGTATTCTTCTATACCTCCCCTGGGCTCCTGGCTATAACCTAGTAGACTTAACTAACCACTGGAGATGAGGTGTTAAAATAACTATCCACATGTGTCCTATAACATAAAGTTATTTTGTACTATTATTACATGCTAGGAATATGAAATTTTGGAATGGTGGTGGTTTTTTTTTCCCCTTTCCCTTACCTCCTTTTGTTACTTTTTGACTCGAGAACCTCACAGCTGACCTGGTTATTGAATCTGAGTCTGGCCTTTTGCATTGGAACCTTCTGGGTATTTTCACCTTTAACCCCTGTGAAAGGAATCCACCAAACCTTCCCCAGGGTTCAGTTTTCTCATACTTCTGTGTTAAGAGCCACCCGTTCTTTTACACCAGCCTGATCACACTCTTAGCTCTCTTACTGCCGTCAAGTCTTACTCTTTTGTACGTGCCTTTTCTGAGCCTCTGTTTTTTATTTCCTCAATTACACTGATAGGTTTGCTTTTTGCATGGCTCAGGCTTGGGTGCTGTCCTCCACATGCGATTCCCTAACAAAGCGCTCAGGATAACAGGCTCGTGCCCACCTCGCATCTCAGCCCGTGTTCTTGCAAATAATGTATGCCTGACAGCACTTTCGCAGTGTTAACGTTCTGATGTCTATTATTAAACCACACCAGAGCTGGGATTTTGAAAAGATACTGTTATTTCTACACACCTTCTCATACATATTTAAGATTCCTCTGATGTTGAAGTTGACATATTTCTTAAATCAGTGTCTATTAGTCATCTGAGGAGCCCTGACGATGCAGCTGTTAAGTGCGTGGCTGCTCGTGGGAAGATTGGCGGCTCAAATCCACCCAGTGGACAGGAGGAAGCCCTGCTCTCTGCTCCTAGCAAGACCGCCACCTGGTCAGCCCTGTGAGAAGCCCTGCCCTGTCCTCAAGTTAAAGAGCAATGATAGAAGTCATGATAGAAGTCATGTTAGTGATACGTCCTATCAGCTTTCAGGCAGAATCATCTCATTAGATACATAAATGTGATGGCTTGTGGAGATTTGCCTCGTAAATGTCTGAAGGACAATCTGAACTATATGATATAGTATAGTTCCTTTCAGCTCTTAAAATAAAAAAGTCCACTGCTCTTGAGTTGGGTCCAACTCATAGCGCCCTCCAGTGAGTTTCTGAGGTACTACCTCTACAGGAAACTGCCTGTCTTTCTCCCACAGAGCAGTTGGTGGATTTGAACCACTGACCGTTTGGTTAGCATCCAACACCTGACACCCCACCCCACCAGGCCTCTAGCTGAATTGAATTGAGTGGTATTAGGAATGACATAATAGTCAGGGAGTCAGTTTGGTGAATAAGCAGGGTTTTAAAGAGGTGGAAATGGGGGGGGCGGTGAGGGGGGAAAGAATAAATAATATTAAAAACCCCTATCCTGTTATGCCTGAAATGGTTTGGGCAAAATCCGGTCAGTTTTCCAGTTTGTTGTCAATCTTGATGATGGAAGGGTGAGCATTCGTAAGATTGTCCTGAGAGATGATGGCTTCTGTTAGACCTAGTCGTCCATCCTTTGAAAGCACTGAGCCCCTCAGTTCCACAGAACTTAGCTTAGCTTGGAGCTAAGTATAACTAGCTATTTTACAAAAATTTCCTGGTTTTTAAATTTATGAAAGAATTACCTAATAGAAGGTATTTCCTTTTTAGTTAATGAAAAAGTTTAAAAACTCAGATATTTTTATTTTGGGGAAAATTGTTTTAGTAAGTCTTCTGAACTAGGCTTTTTCTTATAAGGTCTAGACTACTGGTTTTTTTGTGTTTTTTTTCTTTACAACATTAGCAAACTGCTAAGGTCTTTTAAGATCAGATAGAAATAAAGCAGTCTTTAAAAGCAAACTGCAGTTGCTTGAAGACTATGATTTAAATTTAGATCTGTGTTCACTTTCATTGGCTGTCTGCACCTGACGGCACAGACAAGAGCTTGGCCATTAATACAAAGTTTGACAGTTCAAACACAGCCAGAGGTACCTCACAAGAAAGGCCTGTCTTCTGCTTCTGAGCGGCCACAGCCTTGAAAACGCTATAGAACAAAGTTCTTCTGAGACCCCGTGTCTCAGATTCGACATGGCAGAACTGGTTTTGGGATTTTGTTCCCTTCCGTTCAGCACCCCTAGCCCTGGTGATGCGAGTAGTTAAGCACTTGATTGCTAATTGAAAAGTTCCCGGTTCCTATTCAGTGGCCCCACAGACGAGAGATGTGACAGGCTCCAGTCTGAAAAGGAGGGCACCGCTGGAAACCTTACACCGCAGTTCCACTCTGTCTTCGACTTTCTGCACACTGGGAGCCCCTCAAAGGCAGTAGATCAGGCTTGGGTTTTCAGTGCTAATTCTGTCAGAACATTAGATAAAGGAATTAAACTAAATGGATTCAATTTTTTATACTCACAGGAAAGCAATTTTCCAATAAAGATTACTTATTTTCTAATTCTAGCTCTGAAAAAAGGAATTCATTTCTTTTATTGATCCATTAATAATCTAATAATCTAAATAGAAAACCATTTTATATTGCAGATAAAAAATGATGAAAAATGTACTTTGAAGGAGCAGACCATGCTACTTAAAGCCTGTGGTGGTGGTGGTGTGTCAGTTCAGGACCAACTCATAGTTGACCCTCCAGGGGGTTTTCTGAGGCAGTTAATTGCACAGGAAGAGATTGCCCATCCTTCTCCCGTGGAGCACCTGGTGGTTTCGAACCACTTGACTTTGGGAATCTAAAATAAAGAGCCCTGATGGCACAGTGATTAAGCGTCAACTGGTAACCAAAATGTTTTTGCTTCAAAGCCGGCACCTGCCCTGAAGATTTACAGGTTTGGGAACCCTTGAGCTACTTCTGCCCTGTCCTGCAGGGATGCTGTGAGTCTGACTCACCTTAAGAGCAGTGGGTTTTCAGGTGACAGGGAAGGAGGCCCCAGTGCTGCTTGCCTCCTGCCCTGACACTGCTGTGTTTGCACACTGGTTGATTTCAAGGACTGACAGCGAGAAATGAAGGCTGACTATGCATACTTTCCCAGAGAGGATCTCAAAATCAAATGCAAACAGTGTTAGCTGTTTCTCCAGTCAGCTACCCCATGTACAACTTCTGACAGTCCCAGGACAACAGAATCAGACTCTTGTGACTCACAGGGCTTTCATTGGCTGATTTTTCAGTCATAGATTGCCAAGCCTTTCTTCCTAGTCTTTGTTAGTCTGAAAACAGTGAGAGTCTGCTCAGAATCAAGCAAGAGTCCACTGACAGATGCGTGGTGACTGCGTGTGAAGTGCCCTGGCTGGGAATCAAACCTGTCTCTCACACCTGGAAGGCAAGATGAGAATTCTACCACTGAGTCACCACTCTCCCCATAAATAATTATTTTCTCACAAATTGTGATAGTGATCATGATGATATAAAGGCTAATATGTTGTTGTTGGTATGTGCCGTCAAGTTGCCTACAACTAATAGCGACCGCATGTGCAAGAGCCCTAAACTCTGTCCTACATGTGCCAATCTCACTATCTCCAACACACCTATCCCCATTACCCCAGCCACTGAATCCACCTCACAGAGGGTCTTTCTCTCCTGAGCTGTCCCTCCAACCCCCAAGCATGATGTCCTTCTCCAAGGACTGGTCCCTCCTTGCAACATGTCCGAAGTATGTCAGACAAAGCTTCAGAGTCCTTGCCTCCAAGGAGCAGCCTGACTTCACCCTCTCCAAGACAAACCTGTTTGTTTTCTTAGCAGTCCATGGTATATTCAATACTCTTCTCCAACACAACAGCTCGTTGTTGTTGTTGTTGTTATGTGCCGTTGAGTCGCTTGTGACTCATAGCAACTCTATGTACAACAGCCCTAAACTCCGCTCTGTCCTGTGCCAGTCGCACTGTCTCTGACACTCCCATCCCAATTATCCCAGTCACTGAATCAATCCACCTCATAGAGGGCCTTCCTCTCCTGCGCTGTTCCTCCACCCTCCCAAGCATGATGTGCCTCTCCAAGAACCGGTGTCTCCTCAAAACATGTCCAAAGTATGTTAGACGGAGCCTCAGAATCCTTGCCTCCAAGGAGCCACGCGGTTTAGCCGTTTAATATTTGCAAAGACTTGTGAGATGCAGCAGCTCCTCTGACGCTCAGAACATGAGCTTCCACGGTCATGAGGCAGCCAGTATAGCAATTGACCAGTTGTTCCCTAACACATGGGTAAAGCAGGGAAGACTAGTGTAAAAAAAGTCATAGGAACTCAAAAGAGATTCCCAGGTAAGGGAAATCTGTACTCACCCAGTGGAAACTTAGTGGCAAGGCCTTTGGTGCCACACTGTTCGACCTTTATAAAAACCCTGAAGCATTGAAACCTGACTCATCCATTGTTTATTGTTTCATTCTCATTATGTAGCTCAGTCCCCAACCCATCCTGGAAGTAACAGCTGTTGGATTCAACCAGCCAACCAAGCCATCAATAAACAAATCAACTTGCAAAACAAAAGGTTACTGATGAGTCAGCTTGTTGACCCATGTGTGTCAGAGCAGGTTTGTGCCAGAGAGGTTTTTCCCAGTGGCTGATTTTTCAAATGTACATCACCAGGCCTTTCTTCTGCAACCCCTCTGGGTGGAATCCAACCTCTAACCTTCTGGATAGCAGCCACCCATCGTTAAAAGTCTTTGCAGGATGTACAGTTAACTCTGTAGTTCCCCTAGCCCACAGTTCATGGAATAAAGGAAAGATGATGTATTTCGTATCTGGAGAACCATAGTTTCAAACCCTTGCTATGAAACTTGTCGTAAAGTATGGGTGTACAATGTAAATGTGTAAAATGAGTTAATGTATCATTCATTATTGGTAAATGTTTAAGACCAGCCAGGGATGCAAAAGTGAAAACATGTATTTCCTTTTCTTAACTTATTGCTTTGGCTAAGATTTCCAATCCAAAATTGAGTAGGTAACAGGACAGGGCAGAGTTCAGAGCTATTGGACATGGGGTCACTATGAGTTGGGAGTGACTTGATGGCATATAACAACAACAAGATGATGATAAATGTCGTCTGTGCCTGATTACCATTTGCAAGGAGAATGCCTTCAATAAAAGGCTCCTAATTAAGCAAGAAAAAGCAAAACTGTCTCTATTTGCAGAAAATATGATCCTATATGTAGAAAATCCCAAAGAATCGGCAAGAGAATTATTGGAGTTAACTGAAAAATTCAGCAGAGTGGCAGGGGTACAAGAAAGAAAAATAACAGAATTGTCTAGAAACAGCCTTATGTTTGTACCCTTAGTAGGATGAGCGAACTGGAGCAGCCAGAATGTGTGCCTTCATCTCACACAGCCAGGGCTTTATCTCCACAGCCCAGGCTGAGCCCCAGTCCTCCTCTGTAACTAACACTGTACCTGTTTCTCTAGCTGATTTTTCTTGTCTTTTGTTCAGAACTCACCGTCTCCTCCTCCGCACTAACTCTCCTTTCTTCCTTCTCTCTCTCTGAATCAGGTTTCTTGAGAAACTCATCCAATCTTTTCTGGACTTTTCTTCAGCCTCTTTGCCTGAATCCTTAAAGAATATGTGTTTGCTAGTTTGTGACAACCAAAGATTGTTCTCAGAGGAGTCGAAGTGTAAGTATAAATGGAGGTGCTTACTAAAAATTTCTGTTAAAGAAGGCCATAGAACTAGAGTGTACGCTAACACTTGATCAAAGCGCGCTCCAACACAGCCTCTTAAAAAGGATCAAAGATATGCTATCCCCTTGGGTCTTGCTGTGATGCAAAGCTGTTGGACTTTGTAATTAAAATGTATGAGTATTATCCAGAATTTTCCATTACTTAGCTGGTACACAGTTCAGCCTCTGACGTCAAGAGTCTTAGCATAAGCTCCTTCCCATTTATCTTTATGGTCTAACCACAGCTCTTTCTTTCTTGTCTAGAAACCTTACGCCTGTCAGATCCCAGGATGCACCAAACGCTACACAGACCCGAGTTCCCTCAGAAAGCATGTGAAGGCACATTCTTCCAAAGATCAGCAAGCGAGGAAAAAGGTAATTGGAAGCAAGGATTGGCCAGCCAGGGAAAGGGCGTGGCATAAATGGCTTGTGTAGTATGAAGCTCTCCCGCCAGATATGGGGAGTTCTTGTACTTCTCAAGTCCAGCACACTCTCAGTTGTTTGGGTGGGGGGCAGATCTTTCAGGAAGCATTAAGGCCTGTGGTTGGCATTGCTCTTGCAGCCAGCGCAGGGTCTCTGGCAATGGTTGATACAACAGGTATCAGAGAAAACTGGTGAAAGTGGATCCCAACTGGAAAGTAAACAATTAGAAACTTAAGGCCAAGTAGCTAAAGAAAACCTAGCTTTCATGAAAACCCGACCTAAACATAGTTGTTAGGTGTCTTCGAGTTGGCTGTGACTCATAGTGACCCTATGAACCACAGATTGAAAGCTCACTCTGTTCTGGGTCATTCTCACATTCTCTGCCATGCTCAAGCCCATTGTGCAGACACTGTTGTGCATGTCATTGATGGTCATCTTCTCATTCACCGACCTCCTGATTTTCCAAGCAGGGTGTCTTTTTCTAAGGACTAGGACGTTCTGACAGCACGCCCAAAGTAGGAGAGAGGACGTTTCACCATCCTTGCTTCTAAGGAGCATCTTTATTGCACTCCCTCCAAGGTAGAGTTGCTTGTTCTTTTGGCAGTCCGTGGGACAGTCAGTATTCTTGGCCAACAGTACAATCAGACTCAACCATAGATTGTTGTGTGTACCGTTGCTATGGCACCAGCAGTCAGGAAATCAAAAAGTGTATTGCGATGGGAAAGTCTGCTGTTAGCAGGAGAGAAATCAAACACATTTTCAATAGCTATGTTTTATGCTGAAAATGAGGAGTACCTGAAGCACTTGCTGCAGAAGGTCAAGGACTGCAGCCTTCAGTATGGATTGAGGCTCAGTGTCAAGAAGACAAAGATTCTCACCACTGGCCCAATTGGCAGCATCAGGATGGATGGCGAAGAGTTTGAGATTGTTCACAGCTTCAGTTTGCTCGGCTCCACAGTCAACACTCTTGGCACCAGCAGTCAGGAAATCAAAAAGTGTATCGCGATGGGAAAGTCTGCTGTTAGAGACCTCTCTAAAGTACTCAGGAGCAACGGTGTCTCTCTCGAGACTAAGGTGCGCCTGATACAGGCCATGGTCTTTGCAATCACTTGTTATGCATAAGAGAGTTGGACAATGACTAGGGAGGACAGAAGGAGAGTTAATGCTTTTGAGCTGTGGTGCTGGAGAAGGGTACTGAATGTACCATGGACTGCCATGAAAACAAACAGATTCATCTTGGAGAGGATTAAACCAAGCTACTCCTTGGAGGCAAGGATTCTGGGGCTTCGTCTGACATACTTTGGACATGTTGCCAGGATGGGACGGGTCTTTGGAGAGGGACATCATGCTTGGGAGGGTGGAGGGGCGGCGCAGGAGGGGAAGGCCCTCTATGAGATGGATTGATTCGGTGACTGGGGTAATCGGGATGGGTGTGTCAGAGGCATTGTGGTTGGCGCAGGATAGAGCAGGGTTTAGGGCTGTTGTGCATAGGGTTGCTATGAGTCGCAAATGACTCAACAGCACATAACAACAACAACAACAATTGCTATGCATCTGAGAGAGGGACAGTGGATAAGGATGACCGAAGAATTGATGCCTTTGAGCTGTGCTGTTGAAGAACGCTGAACATCCCGTCAACGGCCAAGAGAACCAAACAGATACGTCTTGGAGAAGGTTGGCATGATCTTGGGAGGCAGGAATGATGAGGCTTCACCTCACATTCTTTGGACATGTTGCTAGTAGGGGCTGTTCCTTGGACAGGAACCTGATACTGAGAAGGGTGGAGGGTCAGTGGAGGAGATGAAGACCCTTGATTAAGTGGATTGACGTGGTGACTGCTGCATTGATCTCTTATTGTGTCAGGAAGTATGAAGATAGGAAGTACAGGATAGGACAGGGTTCAGGTCTGTTGTTCATAGAGTCGCTATGGGTCTGACTCAACTCAACAGCACGTAACAACAATATAACACTGTCAAATTCGGATCAAACAACAACAGCTCTTTTCTTGAGATTAATGAGGTTTTTTGCTAACAAAAGTGAGTTTACACCCAGTGTCGTGGGATCGAGTCAAACTCAGTGACCCTCCATCAGGTTTCCAAGGCTTTGATTGTTTTAATTTTTTTTTTCTATTTTAAGTGAATGTTACAAAACAAATGAATTTTCCTTCAACCATTCACACACATTTTGTTCTGTAACGTTAATTTCTACACTCACTATATAGCTGTATTTCTCCACTTCCTTCTTGTATTTCTGATTTCCATTGATCTTTCTACACCTCTGTCTGTTTCCTCTTTCCGTAATAATACTGTGCTGCGCAGCCCCAGTAAATCTGCCTTGCCCTTCCCAGTCTTAATGTGTGTCTGTTTCCTCCTTTTTTTGCTCTTTGCTCCCTTCTCCTTGCCCTCCTCTCCCTGGTAACCATCCAAGAAGGATCTGTATATAAACGTCCTCCTAGTTTTTGTAATAATCTTACACAAATATTTGCTCTTTTCTGATTGACTTACTTTGTTTCACATAATGTCCTCTAGATTTTCTGCACGGAGTAGAAACACTCCCTGTTATGCGGTATTTCATAAATTCTGTTGTTTTTTTGAAAAATGTGTAAATGTTCCATTGTTTCTCTGTCCATCTGTCTGCTGATGGACTCCGGTGGTTTTCACCTCGTTAGTATTGTAAATTACATTGTGAACATGAGTTTACCTCTGTCCATGTGATCATGTGATCCACTCACCTTTTAAACAATAACCAGTGCATTTTCCACTATACACAAGTTGAGCATGAGTGAGTCTCAATATCTCTTACTTTAAGCTGAATGGGGGTGGGGGGAAAGGGGGAATCCAAAAAAAACCCCCAAACCCACAATATAAATGAAAAAAACAACACCACCCCCCACATTTCTTCATCTGGTGTCGTTTGTTTTCCTGGAGTTAGCTGTGACTCTGGGGAAGCTGGTGTACAGGTAGTGAGTGACATGTGTCTCTCCTGTTGCAAAGCTGATGTACAAGGTAGTGACATCTCTCTCTCCTGCACCATCTTCTTGGCCACGTCTGGGTTTGAGTCCACTTTTGCACCATTATATGATGCCTTCAAACCTCTGGGCTCATCATCTTCCTTTTATCAGACAATTTTCTTTTAATGAAGGAGTGTTGAGCTTTGTTACCTGCTGAATCACTAGTCATAATGTCAAGGGTGTGAATTCATTAGCCACTTCTTGAGAGAGCAGCACGCAGTCTCCTCTTGTAAAGATTTACAGTCTCAAAATACAAACAGAGGGTCACCATGAGTCTTGAGTTGACTCAGCCACAGTAGGTTTGGGTTTTGGATTTAGGGTGTATGAAAATTTGTAACAGGAATTCAGCATAAAATCTCTGATACTGGCAAGGGATTGATGCATCTTTTGATGGTGATAAAAACCATCATATCTCAGGTGCAAAAGACATGTTAAAGATCAACCAGCAAACCCTCCTGACTGCTGCTGTGCTAACTTGGTAGAAGACCAAGGGGGAGGTTAAGGTTAAGGTCTTTCCGTCAAGCAGTTGGCCGTGTCATGCTTGAACTCCTCTAGGAGTGGGGCACTCATTGCTTTTCAGGGTGTGTGTTAATAATTTAGCATTTGCATTTCCAGACCAGAAGTATATTCTGGAAGTAGTAGAATGCAAGCTGAGTTGACCTTATTTTTTTGTGTGTTGAGATTTGCTTTTTGAGAGTTTCCTTTGTGCCAGGATTGGTACCTGACTCATTTCAGGATCCTTCGTTGTAAATTGAAGGGTAGTTTGAAACTCAGTTTGCTTCAAGTATTTGAATTCCATGGCTAATGTTTCCAGGTCACTGTGAAGTCTCCTTTGAATTCTTGCATTCCTTCATGATTTATAGGGATCTAACACTTTTGTGTTTGTAAACGGCCTGCAGTTTCTTTGTTACTTGAAATTTTCTTTCTTGGGAGACGCTAGCCGTGCTCACCAGGGCTCATTTATGTGGAGTCTGACCTCTTCCCCATTAGACAGAAAACAAGTGCTCCACTAGAAGCACGTGACAGACACTCTTAATTGCATGCAAAGTCTCTCATTAAACTGATTGTTAGAATTGCTTGTATTTTTTTCTCTCTGTAGAAATGTGGTTAAATCTCTTTCTGTTTGATGGCAGGGGCCTTTGGCATGGGTTGGATCTGCTCTTCTATTTTAGAAAATCCAAGGAAAGACTAAGTGAATTAATAATTAAATGAACCAAACCGCCCCAGAATCCCCTGCCATCAAGTCCATTCAAATTCTTCCTGCTTAACAACAATGCAAACAAGAGAGAAATCTAGATAGGTAACAATAGGACAACTTCAAGAAGTAAGCCAAGGTGACAGCAGGAACAGAAATCGTATGCTTGCCGGCACTATTAATGGAAAAGTGGTTGTGAGGGCTTGAATGATCCTTGAAACATAACTAAAAAAAGAGAAACAAATCTTAAGACAACAGTTTGATAAACAATTTGTAGGCATCCTTCAAGAAGCGAACTAGACAGGGATAGACTTTGAAGGGACAGTGTTGTGTTCTAACATCAGATATGCTAACCAAAAGGTCAGCGTTCAAATCCACCAGTGGCTCTTTGCAGAAAGATGGCAGTCCCCTCCTGTGCACATTTCCGGCCTTGGAAGCCGGATGGGGTGTCACTGTGAGTCAAGAGCACTGGTGAGAGGCTTTCTCTGGTTACAGTACTGGGTGTGTGTGTGTGTGTGTGTGTGTGTGTGTGTGTGAGAACTTTTTTTATTATTGGTTGGTTGGTTTGTTTCTTTTTCTAACTTGAAGATTCCTGGCTGGCCTTGACTCCAAACAAGTGGGCCATGACCGGGGGTAAGGGGGCTGGGAACCGGGCGGCATGGCAAGGGGTCATCTCAGCAACATTTCCTTTATACTGTTCTCCTTACTTTGTCCTACCTAAAATGAGATAGCATCTCCCAAATGACT